ATACATGAAACTAAAATAATTGGCATGTAATTATGCCGCATATAATCTACAAAGCAGTTCACTGCCTATGGGCTAGTCGCACAGTTTTCCAAGAGGACGTGTCATGTTTATTCGTCAACAAAGCAGCGCTGCCAACCTATTGAAATGTACTTCCAGAACAATTTGTCTGACTGACATTATTACTCATCGCTGATATGAATAGCATCGATCGGGGTTTACGTTGAGCCGAAAACTAACGTCGCTATCGCTAGCTTCTCCTGTTCAACGTTGCTAGCTTCTTGAGTTAGCTTTCGGCTAACGTCGCAACCTTCTACTGTTCATTCCACAAGAGTTGGCAGCTATGCTTTGACAAAACCATCATCATCTATCCAAAAATCACGCTTACGTTTTTGCAAATCCTTGATCATTAGCAGACTGGTTGAGAAAGCAGTCATCTTTGAAGTGGAGATGGCAGAGAACACTCATCGATGATGGCGTGAAATCCATTCGCTTCGTGCAAATAAAAGATTTAAGTGCCCTGCTATCCTTCGGCCACTGGTACAACTTTTCTGTCGATTGCGAACAATACATCGCCACACACCGCCGTGGCATCTTACCAACAAGCAATGCAACAATGCTGTTCAATGGAAGGACTTCCCTCGCCGTTCTCCATGTGACGTCATTTCCGAAGATTGCCGAAGAAAAGCATTTTCGTTGTCAAGGGCGTTGCTATGGGTTAAACAAAGAATCTGGAAGGGTTGCTTAAAAAAACGGAAATATGCTTATAATTGTTCAGCCATTGATATTATTCAAAAACATGGTTGGCCAATTTTACTTCACACTTGGCCTTTAATCTTTGCCGACACCTAACTAAGGAGAGTGCTATTAAATATGTAAAGAATAAAGTAATCACATGTCCTTGATAGCGTCTGCTGTGTTGGGTCTGTCTCAGTGACAGACTGAGGCTGCTGTTGTCTTCTTCTCTGATCATAACAATGTTGTCTTCTACTCTGATCAAAACAGTGTGTCCCCTAGCGGATACTCCATGAATCGCACCTTGTGTCCTTTATGCATTTTTTTCACTTTAAATGATCCTGCGGGCCTGATCGAACCTCCTTGGGGGCCGTATGTTTGACATTTTAGAATGTCAACGGGTCTATACCAGTGTTTTTCAACCCGTGTGCCGCGGCACACGGGTTGAAAAACACTGGTCTATACTATAGACCAGGGGTGTCAAAGTCAAATGGACGGAGGGCCAGATAAAAAATTTTGCTGTAAGCCGAGGGCCGGACTGATCGAATGTTCATTGAAAATTTTAAAAATGACCACATATTGTTTATTGAACCAAACTTAATTGACTGAAAACCTAACAAATACATTCCAATAAGGTCAGATAAATAAAGCAACATTTTTTTATGGCTATGTCAGTAAACTTTAATTTTCAACAGGCACAAAAAAAATTTCCTTTGTATAAAAATACCCATAACATGAATGAAAGAAGCCGATATTATTCAAGGCACTATCTAGCCCAGGGGTGTCAAACTCATTTCACATGGTGGGCCACATACGGCCGGGGTAGATGTCAAGTGGGCCAGACCATTAAAATGATACCATACTTTGCTATAAATAACCAAAACAACATGTCTTTCCTTTGTTTTGGTATAAAGAAGCACAAGAACATTAGGAAAATGTTGAAATTAAATGAGCATATCTTTTACAAAACATTTCATGAAGCACCTTACATTTCCTTTGACAAATGTGCAATTTACTTTTATCATTCACATATATGCATTGCAACTGATCCCACTGATTGTACAAACTTTAACAAGTAATTGGTTTTGAAAAATATAGTAATGCACTTTAAGATTAAACGAGATTTATAAAGAAAGGAAGTTTTAAACCATTTACACGTGCATATAAAATCTAAATGCAATCCCTGCCTACACCTTACAAACCAAGGAGAGTGCTATTAAATGTGTAAATGTGAGAGTGCTATTGATAGCGTCTGCTGTCATGGGTCTGTCTCAGTGATGGACTGAGGCTGCTGTTGTCTTCTTCTCTGATCAAAACAGTGTCCCCTAGCGGATACTCAATGAATTGCACCTTATTAAAAATATTTATTCTGTGTCTTTTATGCATTTTCTTCACTTTTAAATTATCCTGTGGGGCCTGATTGAACGGCCCGCGGACCGTATGTTTGACACCACTGCTTTACATAATCATCTCGCGGGCCGGATTAAAGTCCTTTGCGGGGCTGCTTCC